GCGAACCATTTCAACTCCCCCTCCCATTCCTCAGACGACATGTCCATCCTGGGCCTCCTGCAGTGCCACAACGATGCCACCCGAAGGTTGCAGGAACAGCAACTCATATTCTGCTTGGGAATCCTGCAGCCCAATGGTATCAATGTGGACTTCACAAGCTTCAAAATCTCCCCTCTCCCTACCGCATCCCAAAACCAGTCCGGCTCATCCCCGCCTCTCTAACCTGTTCTTCCTCCCACCTATCCCTTCCTCCCACCTCAAGCCGCACCCCCATCTGCTACCTACTAGTCTCATCCCGCCCCCTTGACCTGTCCGTCCTCCCTGGACTGACCTATCCCCTCCCTAACTCCCCACCTACACTCACCTTTACTGGCTCCATCCCCGCCTCTTCGACCTGTTTGTTTCCTCTCCACCTATCCTCTCCTCTATCCATCTTCTATCCGCCTCCCACTCTCTCTCCCTATTTATTTCAAAACCCCCTTCCCCTTCCCCTTTTCTGATGAAGGGTCTAGGCCCGAAACGTCAGCCTTTCTGCTCCTATGATGCTGCTTGGCCTGCTGTGTTCATCCAGCCCTGCACCTTGTTGTCTCGGGTTCTCCAGCATCTGCAGTTCCTACTATCTCTAAAGAAATATCCACTTTTCTTATGCTAACTGTTGAGTGATGCTATTTGGAACAAAAAAATGCCCCAGCCATACTCCAGAGGCTTAGGAATCAAGTTGGTACTGAAGTTTGTAAATGTGTGGTTTATTCAGATGATGTGATATATAGTAAGACGTGGGAAGGGCATGTAGACAATTAGAAGACTGGTTTAAGCAATTACAGTTTGCTGGCTTTGTAATAAATTTAGTCAAAAACTGACTTTGTGAAAGCAAGAGTAACTTACCTAGGCCATATTGTAAGAGAAGTGTTGCCAATGACAGCAAAAACAGAGTCTTGAAGGGAATTCCCTGTTCTTAAAACTAAATGAGAAGTCTTGAAATTTTTAGAAATCTATGGGTTTTACTTGCTCATTACCTCCTAAAAGAATTCTGACAGCTTTGTTGGGCATGATGAAGCCGTGCTGTCTCAGTTCTATTTTACCATGTACTTCCAAGCACTCCACAATCCCATTCTTAATAACCGACTTTAAAACCTTACCAACGACTGAGATCAGGCTAACTGAACAATAATTTCCTGTCGTCTGCCTCCCTCCCTTCTTAAACAATGGTGTTACATTAGTCATTTTCCAAACCTTTGGGATCCTCCCTAACTCCAGTAATTCCTAAAAGATCACCACCAATGCCTCCACAGTCTCCTCAGCTAACTCCTTCAGAATTCTGGGGTGTAGTCCATTTGGATGGTGATTTATCCAACTTCTGCCCATTCAGCTTCCTCAGCACCTTTTCTTTAGTGATGGCCACTACACTACCTCTGTCCCCGACTCTGTTGAAGTTCTGATGCAAAGTACCTATTCAGTTCTTCTGCTATTTCTTTGTTCCCCATTACTACTTCTCCAGCCTCATTTTCCACCAGTCCAATATCCACTTTTGCCTCTCTTTTACGTTTTTAAATATCTGTAACAAAATTCTTGCAATCCTCCCTTTTATTACTAGTTAGCTTAGCCTCACATTTCATTTTCTCCCCCCTTATTGCTTCTTTTAGTTGTCATCTGCTGTTTTTTCTTTAAAGACTTCCCAATCCTTTGGCTTCCCACTAATCGTTTATGCTTTTAATCTTGTATGCTTTTTTTGTTTTTATGTTGTCCCTGACTTTTCTTGTCAGCCATGGTTACCTCATCTTCCCTTTAGTATGTTTCTTCTTCCTTGGGATGAATTTCTGCTCTGTCTCCCAAATTGCCCCAAGAAACTCCTGCCGTTACTACTCCACTGTTTTCTCTGCTAGGATCCCCTTCCAATCAACTTTGGTCAGCTCCTCCCTCATGTCCTTGTATTTACCTTCACTCAATTGTAATACAGTTACATGTAGAGTCTAGAATCATAGAGATATACAGCATGGAAATGGACCCTTCAGTCCAACTCATCCATGCTGACCAGATACCATTCTCCCCGTGTCTGTGTGGGTTTCCTCCGTGTGCTCCGGTTTCCTCCTGCAGGCTAGGTGGATTGGCCATGCTAAATTGCCCGTAGTGTTCAGGGGTGTGTGGGTTATAGGGGGATGAGTCTGGGTGGGATGCTCCAAGGGTCGGTGTGGACTTGTTGGGCCGAAGGGCCTGTTTCCACACTGTAGGGATTCTATGATTCTATGATATCCTAACTAAATCTTGTCCATTTGTCCCATATCCTTCCTATTCATGTACCCGTCCAGATGCCTTTTAAATGTTGTAATTGTACCAGCCTCCACTACTTCCTCAGGCAGCTCATTCCATACACACACCATCCTCTGCGTGAAAAAGTTGCCTCTTAGATCCCTTTTAAATCTTTCCCCTCTCACCTTAAACCTATGCCCTCTTGTTTTGGAACCTCCCCCCCCCCCCCCAACCCCCCCCCATCCCCCATCCCCCATCCCAGGGAAAAACTCATGTCTATTTACCCTATCCATGGAAAATAACCCCAGTCTATTCGGCCTCTCCCTGTAGCTCAAAACCTCCAACCCTGGCAATATCCTTTTCTGAACCCCTTCAAGTTTCACAACATCCTTCCTATAGCAGGGAGACCAGAATTGCACATAGGGTTCCAAAAGTGGTCTAACCAATGTCCTGGACAGCTGCAACATGACCTCCCAAATCCTATAGTCAATGCACTGACCAAGAAAGGCAAGCATACCAAACACCTCCTTCACTATCGTATATAACCACTTTCAAAAAAACTATGAACCTGTATTCCAAGGTCTGTTTGTTCAGCAACACTCACCAGGACCTTATCATTCAGAGTATAGACCTGTCCTGATTTGCCTTTTCAAAATGCAGCACCCGACATTTATCTAAAATAACCTCCATCTGCCATTCCTCAGCCCATTGGCTCATCTGATGAAGGTCCCATTATATTCTGAGATAACATTCTTCGCTGTACACTACACCTCCAATTTTAGTGTCATCAGCAAACTTACTAACCATACCTTCTATGTTCATATCCAAATCATTTATATAAATGACAAAAAGCCTTGTGACACACTGCTGGTCATGGGCTTCCAGTCTGGAAAGCAACCCTTCTCCACCTCTGTCTCTACCTTCTGAGCCAGGTCCGTATCCAAATAGCTAGTTCTTCCTGTATTTCATGTGATCTAACCTTGCTAACCAGTCTACCATGATGAACCTTGCTATAAGCCTTACTGAAGTCCATATAGATCTCGTCCACTGCTCTGCCGTCTTCAATCCTCTTCGTTACTTCCTCAAAAAACTCATTAGAGTTAGTGAGACACTATTTCCAATGCACAAAGCCATGTTGACAATCCCTAATCAGTCCTTGCCTTTCCAAATGCATGTAAATCTTGTCCCTCAGGATTCCCTCCAACAACTTGCCCACCACTGGTACAGGCTCACTGGTCTATAGTTCCTTGGCTTTTTGTTAACACCTTTCTTAAATAGTGGCACCAGGTTTGCCAACCGGCACCTCACCTGCAGCTATCGATGATACAAGTATCTCACCAATCACTTCCTTAACTTCTCGCAGAGTTCTAGGGTACACCTGATCAAGTCCTGGGGATTTATCCATCTTTTATGTGTTTTAAGACATCCAGCACCACCACCTTTGTAATACGGACATTTTTCAAGATGTTGCTATTTATTTCCCCACGTTCTCTATCTTTCATATCCTTCTTCACAGTAAACAGGGACCACTTAACTGCCTTCCCAGTTTTTCCCTTTATCCATAATGCCAATTTTGTTTTGTGTCTATCTGTATGATCGATACTTATGTTAGTTTAGGTCTAGAAGACAGGTAGATTGGGCAATTTTGCAAGCTTTGATAGAATTCTTAACTTTTGTGATGACTCCAGGAAAAGAGGAGCTTGATTTCCAGTGCACTACCCGAGTGAGCTGTGACACATAGAACCCATTTTGAAATGTGTTTGGACAATTTGGTTTGAAGGATTTGGATGTCTTCTCACCGGTGATATAAATGATGTCGCAACTCAATTCTTTAGGAATGTCTCTGAGCAAAGCCCAGGACTTTCCATGGAATGTAAAAGGATTACAGAAATGTATCTTAATATTAATGTAATATGAAATATTCACGTAGATATAATTCAAGAAAAGATTTCTCCAAGCAGCTATTTGAGTTTCAGAAACTGTTTTTATAGCATTAACACATTGATTATATTGAGTCCTTTGTTTCGAATTCGTAGGAACCAACTGCTGCTTCACTCCCTTCTCCTGGATCTGGCCTAAACTTGATTGAGATAGACAATTTGGAGGAGTTTGCATTGAGGCCTGCCCCTCGTGGAATAACAGTCAAATGCAGGATCACCCGGGATAAGAAGGGAATGGACCGTGGTCTCTACCCAACTTATTTCATGCATCTTGAACGTGATGATGGAAAAAAAGTGAGGGAAACCTTGCTTGTAGCTGTGAAATTAGATTGAGAACCATGAAGAATTAATTCACAAACACTAATGGCATTGATGTTTATAAGTGTTTCAAATCAAACTTCAGGACTGACTATGGGGGTGTCTGCGAACTTTTTTATATAAAAGTAGTTACATTGTTATCTCATGTTGCCTGAACAGACAGAAGCGTTGAAATCTTAAATGGCTGTGAAATAATGGAAAAGCTGAAGGAAAAAATGCATGATACTAACAAAGGTATATTGTATGCCCAAAGACCGACATCTCCATCTTTATTAATTGTTTGGTTAACACGTAGAGGTCCATATTAAATCTCTATAAGAGTTTCCTGTGATGGAAGAAAAGGGAAAGAGAATACATTCATAAATTCCAAAGAACAGTATTGCGTATTAGATTAGTGCAATTCATTTCTTGAGTTTAAATTCCAATTGTATGTTTGAATGAGTGATGGTGTGGAATTTTGTCAGTGCATTGGAGGTTGGGAGGTGGTAGACCTAGCCAAATTGCATTATATAGTATGAGGAAGGAAGATCAACATGAAGATTTCACTTCTTCACAGATACAGGAATTTCTTCTGTCATTGAAGCTTTGAAGCCTTTTTGTCACCACAGATCGTACAGCTGCTGCTTCACCCTTTCAGAGTACATTGTCACGGCTTGCTCACCTGAGCAGTTTGAACAATTGGCAATGGCTCCAGGGTTTCTGCTCCTCCGCTTGCCAAGCTATTGGTCCACAGATACAATGCATGCAGGCTCCAGCATCGACTATATAGAGTCATAAAGATATACAGCATGCAAACAGACCCTTTGGCCCAACTCATTCCTGCCGACCAGATATCTTATGTAGATCTAGTCCCATTTGCCAGCATTTGGCCCTTATCCCTCTAAACCCTTCCTATTCATATACCCATTGAGATGCCTTTTAAATGTTGTAATTGTACCAGCCTCCACCACTTTCTCTGGCAGCTCATACCATATACGCACCACCCTCTGCGTTGCCCCTTAGGTCACTTTTATATCTTTACCCTCTCACCTTAAATCTATACTGTCTAGTTTTGGACTCCCCACCCTGGGAAAAAGAGCTTGCCTATTTACCCTATCCATGCCCCTCACAATTTTATAAATCTCAATAAGGTCACCTCTCAGCCTCCAACGCTCCAGTTAAAGTAGCCCCAGTCTATTCAGCCTCTCCCTCCAACCCTGGCAACATCCTTGTAAATCTTTTCTGAACCCTTTCTTGTTTCAAAACATCCTTTTTATAGCAGGGAAACCAGACTTGCATGCAATATTCTGATAACGGCCAAACTAATGTCCTGTACAGCTGCAACATGAGCTCCCAACTCCTATATTCAATGCACTGACCAATAAAGGCAAACGTACCAAACACCACCTTCGCTATCCTATCTACGTGTGACACCACTTTCAAAGAGCTATGAACCTGCACTCCAAGGTCTTTTTGTTCAGCAACAATTTACCATTAAGTGTACAAGTCCTACCCTGATTTGCACTACCAAAATGCAGCACCTCCGTTTATCTAAATTAACCTCCACCTGCCACTCCTTAGCCAATTGGCCCATCTGATCAAGATCCCATTGTACTCTGAGGTAACCTTCGCCGTCCACTACACCTCCCATTTTAGTGTCATCAGCACACTTACAAACCATAACCCTTCTGTTCACATCCAAATCATTTTTAAAAATGACGATAAAGGAGCTGACTGAGCACAATCGTTGTGGCATGCTGCTGTTTTAAATTGGAATTTAGTTATGATTCCCACGGGAATCTGAAAACCAAATGAATCCAATTTAGCGAACAACCCCTAAATGAAGAAACTTATTGAAAAAGATTTCACTTCCTGTATTTTGTCCTCAAAGACACATCAAAATCGATGTAAACCACACAGCTATCAGTTGGAAAACTCTGGTTGGAGTGAACTTAAGTTACAGATTGAATGCGAGATATCACTGTATCTCATGATTATCTTATTGTAGGCCACAGGTTCCCAAGCTGTAGGTTGCAAGCCCTGCTCTGCAAATCACTCATATCTTCTTGCGTTCTCATTCTGAGATTACACAAAATTTGAAGCATTAAAATGGGGTCACCAGGGACAATCTGAACAATTTCAATTCCAGATCTACAGTTCAAGCAGTATTCCAGTTTCAGTTACACAGGCCTTCTACGCTACATTCCAGTTCCTTTCTTCCAAGGGTTTAACTGATTTAGTGCTTGCAGCAGTTTCTATTTAAATAAATTCCATCTGTGCAATTTGACCTATGTAGCACACTTCCTTGCTGAAATCAATTCAGCTCTCCTTTCCAGCTACCTTGTTTCTGCTTCTCTTCCTGTCCTTGTCTGTGGCCTCCAGTTTTTCACATTGTCCCTGTTGCTACTGCTTCAAGGTAAGAGCCAGCAGGTCACATAAATATCTCTTATCATGCAAAATTTATAGTTGATTCCTTTGCAACTGATCCAAACTTTTAAAAGTTATTTGATAACTTTTAATAACAATTACAGATTTGCCAAAAATTTCAAAGTAACTATCCATTTTTCTTGTTGCTTCCACATGTATGGTTGTTGCAGTTCAGCCTTGCAGATATGTGTTTTGCTCGTGTTAATGCAGTATTGGTGTATCGTGACCTGTTAATAATATAATGGATTTTTTTTTTAATAGGTTGCTGTTATGAGTTGGGGGAACTGACTATTTGTTTGTGATGAAAGGAATGTCTAAAAAATGTTTTGCTTTGTTTTACACAGCTGTTTTTGTTAGCTGGAAGGAAAAGGAAAAAGAGCAAAACTTCCAATTATCTGATATCTGTTGATGCAACAGACTTGTCACGAGAAGCTGACAGCTACATAGGGAAATTAAGGTTGTTATATTTTGATAAGATTGTAAATTAATAATTATGTTTTATATAAAGTCCTATACACACGCTAAAGGATTTTACATTTCAACCTTTGGTAAAAGACCTGTGTGCTGACATAATTACTGCTGTGGAGTTGCATAAGTATGTTTTATTAATTTATATTATGTTGTGTATCTGGTACATCTGTTAGACATTGATGACTTAAATTGATTTAAAGTAGTTGGTTTGTTTAAATAATGCACTTTGAGGAATTACTGAACAGGTACTAATACAGCTTACAGCTTTCATTTTGGATAGACCTTTTCAGGGCTCTGCCGATACAGTGGTTTTGTGTAGTGTCCCTGCCCTTGGAGACTTGGCGAAATTGATGAGAAAGATGTACACTTGATAAGAGTTTAAAACAATTTCTCTCAGTATCCAAAAATCGAGAAAAAAGTCGCAGTTAATGATCTTAACTCAGGAATGGTGTAAAAGTAGATAGTATAAGGAATAGCAATGCTTCACCATTATATATAAGGTGTACTTTTGTGTTTGGCTAAGTGGATATTCTCAGCCTGGCATTAAGTAATGTTTAACTTTTATATGTTACTTGTACAGTCCGTATCTTGGGAAAGCTGTTTGGAGAAGTATAAACAGGGTTTTCCTTTGTCAATCTGTACTTCACTTGATATGGTAGTAATTGTTACTCACATTAGAATTGGATTGGTGTCCAATTCCATAGCACCAACATCCTTCATTATTTATTAATTAAGAGGAGATAACTCTTAGCACTATCATCCAAGGCTGATTCCCTTCCATAGGGTATAAGTGCAAAGCCGACGTAAATGCATTATTCAAGAGAATATGATTTCTCAAGCCGGTCTTTGGGCTTCTATGGAAGCATCCTCAAGCATCTTTAGGTTTTCCTATAATATATGCCTTGTTTTAACAAATTCTTCTCTGTCTCGACCTGTTGCTTATTAATGGATCTTGGTGTTCTGGTTAAATCTTAACCATTAATAAAGTTACTACATCAAAATCAGCCCCTTCCAAACCAACAAACTGTCCAAATTCAAACAAGGTAAAGCAGTTAAAGAAATACCCAATAGAAAAGATTTGCATGGCTTCAGAGCGGTACTAGTTTGGAGTTCCCAGTTTTAAAGTTTTCCTTCATTTTGCCATTTCTACATCGTGATTTGACAGAGTCTGGCATCAAGGAGGCCTAGCGAGAAAACCGAATCCAGTAGGGATCGGGAGAAGACTCTCTGCTGGTTTTGTCATTGCTAATATAAGGTTATGGTTATTGGAGGATAATCATCTGTATCCCAGGTCATCACTGCAGTGTTCCAGGCCCAGCCATCTTAAGCTGCTTCACCAAAGGCATTCCTTCAACCATAAGGTCAAGTGTGATGTTTGCTGATAATTGGATAATGTTCAGCACCATTCACAATTCCTCAGATACTAAACAGCCCATGTCAATATACATCACAACCCAGAAAATATTCACTTTGAGCTGGCAATTTACAAGTTACATTTTTACCACACACATGCCAGGCAATGACCATTTCAAACGAGAGGGCGTGTAATTACCTCTGCTTAACATGCACTGGCATTACCATTGATGAATCTGCAGTTTCAATATCCTCAGCATTACTATTGGCCAGAAACCAAATTGGACCAGCTACACAAATGCTATGGCTACCAGTACCTGTCTCCCAAATGCTTGTCCAGAATCTACAAGGAGTATGAGTGAATACTCTCCCCTTAACTAGTAGACGCGTGCATCTCAAACAGCTCAGTACCATCCAAGATAAAGTGGACTGATGGATGAGCGCCCCATCCACCATCCTCAACCTTCGTACATTCAACACAGATGAACAGTTGCAGAAGTGTGTATTATGTATATGATGCGCTACAGCAATTTGCTTAAGGCTTTTTCAAAAGCACTTTCCAAACTCTCAACCTCCATTACTTAGAAGGACAAGGGCAGCAAATACATGAGAAAAGCACCACCTCTAAGTTCCCATTAAAGCTGCACATCATCCTGACTTAGAATTATATAGCTATTCTTCCATTATCACTGACAAAATTCTAGACCTCCCTTTCTAAAAGCACTGTACCTAACCCCAAAGACTGCAGTGGTTCAGGAAGACAGCTCACCACCAACTTCTCAAGAGTAATTAGAGATAAGCAATGCTGACCTATCCAGTGATGCCAACATCTTGTGAATGAATAAGAGAAAACATGATGGACCTGTTGGGTCAAATGGTCTATATTTGCACTGTAAATACTTTACTATTATTGTTGTGGAAACAGAACTAGAGTAGGCTGCTGTCCATGATTTTGAAGTGAACGTTACAGAGTGTGGCATAAGAGGCTGACAATGCCACTGAACTATCAGCACGTTACTTGTATGATTATTCATTTTTATTGGTGCTAATAAACAGACAAAATTTCCTACGTCTGTTCATTTCAGAATATTTGTTCATTGTGCCTTTATTGTGTATGATTGTTCATATTGTGTTGCATTTTCTTGTCTGCCAGGTCAAATTTAATGGGAACCAAGTTTACAATTTATGATAATGGAGTAAATCCTGCAAAAGCAGTTGGGTTGCTTGATGAAACCAATACCAGACAGGAGTTAGCTGCAATTTGCTATGTAAGTATTACAGCATAGAAATATTTTATTGTTCTAAAGTCTGTTATACGTAACAGGATACCCTGTTAAATAGTACCCGAAAGCCTATGGATCTGATCTCAGTTGTGCTGTTATACTTTGTGCAATATTATCAAAAAATATGTAATGATTTTGCTGGGTATTCACTATTTCCTATGCGATCCATGTAGAGAAACAGAAATTAAATGGGAAAAGTAGTGATGAAGAGTAGATGCAAGCAATTTTTCTGCTAAGTTATGCATGGTCAATTCAGCTTCACTTAAAAAATGCCTTGAGCTAAAACAAAATTTTACACAGAATTGGTTGCAGATAATGTATAGTTGCTCCCACAAAGGTTCCTTACTTTAACTCTACAATGGTAGCAGCGGAGCGACCAGATTGCCATAAAATCCATCTGATTCAAAAACTGACTTTCAGCAATTGAATCTGCCATCCTTATCCAGTCTGAGCTTTGATGTGGGTGTGAGATTAAATAAGTTTGGATTGCCTCAATGTGCTTAAAAGCCAGGTATAATGCTTCAGTACAGAACTGCTTGTAGCTTTACACTAATTAACAATATACAGGTAACTCTGCTCAGAGAGATTGCCAGCATATCCTTCATTCTGATCCCCCGTCCATGTTGTGTGAACAGGGAGTGTTTCTTTTTTTCCACTAATAAACATCCTTTGCCTTCAGCACAAAAAATAGGTAAAGTTATTGTAGTGGCATATATTCAAACTGGGGAAATAGCTACATCTATTTTTTTTAAATCACAGAAGTAATTATAATAAATAATGTGTGTTCAGAGTAACGTCAATGGTTCTGTGTAACGAGAGTACATTGCCTGTGGGTGTTGACACATTAATTATCTGCAGGTGCCACGCTACTAGATTCGACACTACTCCTCAGTGTGCAACACTTCACAATCAGTGTTATTCCTTCATACATAGTACTTTTATGTTAATTGTGTGGCATCTTTGGGCGGAAAGCTGCTGATCTTCATGACCTTGCTCCAAAATCATATCCTCCAAATGTACATTTTGTTTCCAAGCTTGTTAATTTCAATTTTACAAAAACTAATTATTACAGGAATCATTGTCAAATCAGAAATTTCCTCAATAGTATAAGGGAACAGTCAATGAAAGATTCAATGTTCATGAATAATAAGGCTAAAAAGTATTATTAACACAAATTGCAACTTTCATTCCTTCCAGGAGACCAATGTTCTTGGCTTTAAAGGACCACGGAAAATGACTGTTGTCATTCCAGGTATGAGCATGAATCACGAGCGAGTCCCCATCAGACCTCGCAATGTAAGTCCATTTAAAAAAAAGAGGTAGATCTTAATTTCATTATAATCAGTTCTAATGAAACTATTCCAGGCAGGTTTCAAGGTACAATAGGAACGTTAATTAAATAGTGTTTCAGTAAGAAAACCGGTGATCTGAAAATTATATTTAAAATATCTGTTTGCAAATGTATTTAAAATATGTGTAAGATAGAATCTAGGTGTACTATACTAGGTGAATTATTGCTTTGACTTGTTAGACTTAAATTTGAATCGAGACTGGATAAAAGTTTCTGCCAGGAACGAAGATTCTTCAGAAACTTAATGCAGAATTATTTGAAATTAATACAGTAGCAAGATACTGTGAATGCTGGAACTCTGAAATTATAAACAGAAAATTCTGGAAATACTCAGCAGGTTAGATAGCATTTTGCAGAGAAAGCAAGGTTAATGTTTTGGTCAATAACTTGAAATCAGAAAGCATAGTGGAACTGTATACTTTGGGATGAATAAGTGATACCATGAAATAGAGGGACATAAATTCATAAAATCTCCGTACTAACCATATTCTAACCTTTGTCAGCTAGGTGAACCAACATTCACCAGGGGCAGGCCTTCCAATGTTATAACGCCCATGCCTTTTGATGAGTACCTATCGAGTTTAAAGGTCTCATTGCATACAAGAAATTCAACTTCTGGTGTAATTTTTATACCAGAATAAAGGCATTTTGGATCCTTGTATTGTTTTTCTTCTAAGGATAATCTTTCATAAAGATCAGTTAATTGTGGCATTTCCAATTGAAAATAGAAAAAGTACAAACTTGAAGCCAAATTTACCTAAATAAAAGTGGTTGGAATTTGGATCACTGAGGTTGCAAATTCATTGCATTCTCACCTTTTCTACACAAATCTGCAGCTGGCTATATTCTGTAAATCTAAATTTAGCAATTTAATACTTTCCACTTAATATTTATAAACATTTTCTGTGCATTTTCCTTACAAAGGCAACAATTGACATAACAGCAATTATGAAAACTCTAATATATTAATCTATATATCAATTTATCTAACACATCAATTCCACAACTTGGAAAAATTCCTTTTTTGCAGTTGCCTAATTCTCCAGTTCTGTGTTTTCTCATCTCAGTTCTCTGTGCTGAATATATTGCAATTTTCTGCAGTGATTGCTTTCAAACATTCCCACAGGAGCACGAAAGTTTACTGTTAATGTGGCAGAACAGAAACATGGAAAATTTAATTGAGCTGCACAACAAGGTGCCTGTTTGGAATGATGACACTCAGTCTTATGTGCTGAATTTCCACGGAAGAGTCACACAGGCATCTGTTAAGAATTTTCAGATTGTTCATGATAATGATCGTAAGTATTTAACCAGAAAATCATGCTTGTTGATCCCCGGTTTAATTGGAAGTTCATTTTGTGACATCTAAATGTGAAATGTCCCTTCATCATTAGCTTCAGTGCATATATTGGGATAATTTCATTCGTACTCCCTCTGCTGCACTTTCACGGTACCATTTGTCTGATAATACTAATCAGCTACCTACTAAGAGTGGAGAGTTTGCACCCAGCTAAAAAGAGGAAGTGGGATTGTTTTCACTGCCATTACTACTTTTTATTGAAATTACCTTACCTACACTTGGATTCTCCTAGATTCGTGGTGTCTGTTTAGTGTCCCACTTTTGGGCTCCTCTTTTAAACTTTTGTTTATTTTGTGTGCGCACATCTCTTCCCCTTTCTCTCTACCTCTCCTCTCTCATGGGCATAGTCTGTCTACCTCAACATCATCTTACCTCTTCTTGAAGTTCCCAGTCATTTTCTGATCCTCACTGGCTCTTCCATTGCAGAAGAATTAAACTTAATCAGTAGAAGCTGGATCTTGCTTTCTCTATGTTATGCATGAAAATGCACAAATCATCAGGTGTAGAAACCAGTGCCCAGCTCTTTAAATCACTGTAGAAATGTCAGGAGAGAAAGATGGACTATGTATCACCTTTTCCTCACAATATTGTCACACGGATAATGTAGTTCTGGCTTGTGTCTCTGTTTAATAAACAATAATAAACTTGTAGCAAAAAATAATCTAATAGTGCTATCCTATCTTTAAAATATACCATAAGTGTAGTTTGTTTTACAACATAACATGAATATAAGGATGCCACATGGATATCGTAAGTCATGAGAACATGAATAATGATGGGTGTGCAGATTTTCATATCTAAATAGTAATTCATAACATCATTGTGAGCTATGTTCATAATATCCTAGGACCAAGTACTGGTGATTATTAATCTGTTAATTGATTACAGCAGTTATGATTGTTGATCAGAGGATTGCACTAAGTTATTGGATGCTTTGATAGATCAGAAATGATGCAGTGTAGTTGAGCCCAACAAATCAAAAGGTCACTTATCCTGTCAGTGGTTTATATTGATTTAGTTTATCTCTACTGAGGTGGCAAAGCGAGACTATAATCGACAATTTCCATTCCTTTTGTAGTCTACTTATCCCTGTCCCAACTGAACAATTACCCTAATTGTCAAGACCATGGTCAAACCCACTGCTAGCATCTTGGGAGGATGACAGATGCAGTCAGAAGAAAGGGAATTTAAAAGGCTTTATGTGCTGTCCCTTGTCAAATTATCTTCAGTCGTGAGTACCTTTTGGAAATCTTAGGACACTATTGTAGTGTGGTCACCTGGAAGCATTAGGTCTCCACTTCCAATTATTTTTTGCTGCATCCAGAAAAAGATTGTGTACCAGGTGCAATGAAAAGTGATATATTGAGAGACTGTTTCTGCTTCTATTTAAATCATTCAAAGCTTTAGATTGTCCAATGTAATGGAAATATTAGGAGCAAATTACCCTTGGCCTGATCATGTATAACTGCTTGTGGCTACTTTTGGGATATTGGCACAGGTCTTAGAGTGGCTAACAATTAATTAACAAATGCTAGTCAGGGCAATCCAGTGAATGTGGAATAATTTTTTTTGTGAAAAACACGAATGAGGTTATTGTTTCCAGAAGGAATTTGGAAGTTTACACAATTTGGTATAGTCTGTCAAGCATTGAGAGTTCTGTAACACAATGAAATCCTTTATGGTCACTCAAGTTGGGGTATTGTAATACACAGTACACTAGAGTTGGGGCATTTCTTTGAATGTATAATATATTTATTTTTATTCAGATTAGTTCACAAACTATTAAGCTGATCCTGGGGTAGTTGGCACGTGACCGACAGCCGCCTTGAAAATTTGTCTATGGATATTCCTGCTTAGGTTAACTTAATTTGTACTGCCATTGTAGCTAGTACACAGAAAATTATAATAGGAAATATGTTAAAGGCAGTTACCTCAAAAACAATAACACTTTTTCTGCTTTCCTTACCAGCTGATTACATTGTGATGCAATTTGGACGAGTGGCAGAAGATGTTTTCACAATGGACTACAATTACCCAATGTGTGCACTGCAAGCCTTTGCAATAGGATTGTCCAGTTTTGACAGTAAATTGGCATGTGAATGAGGACAATAGTGGATGCAGGCCTCCACTTTTTTAAGAAGCTGAAAACTAAAGGGACATATTTATTGTACTGTGCTGGTTTTGTTGTAATCATGCAAACAGATCTACCGTGGAATTGATTTAAATCAAAAATGGAAACAAAAGAAAATAAAAATTCTGCAAATGTCAGAAATAGATTCCCAAGTGGCCTAGCAATCATGGCACACTAATCATGCTTTTAATGGACTGTGTTTTACATTGTTGTACTTGAATACAATATTCTGCCAAATGCAGTATGCATCAAGTGATCACTGTTCACATTTGCCCATAGACGTAAAAGAGGAACTATCTAAAACTAGGATGCAAATTAAATAATAGGTGGAATAAGAAGTACTGCCTCCTTTAAATTATGTCAAAAATGAATGGCTGAAATAATCTTAAATTTGAAAACGATTATTTTAATCTACATTTTGAATTGTATCCCTCTTTTTCCCTTATTTTTGAAAGCATTAACTTATGCTAGAGCATGGTTCCAAAAATTAGAGTGCCACATGCAACTGACCATTTTTTATGTTCCAATTTGGTCCTTACTCAATATTAATAGAATACCACTTCCATCAATGGTGCTGAATGATCAGCAGGTTGAGGAGTTCCAGCTGACGGTAGCTATGGCCTCCTTGGCTAACGCACCAGCGAGTACAGGCACCCTTGCAGAGTCCAGTGTTTTTTTCTGTTTGCACCTCTGAGCGCCTTCGGATTTTTTTCCACATTAAATGCACTATATTGATGCAGCTTATAGTTGAACTGAAGGCTGTGATGCAATGGGAGGTGTATTTCCTCAGAGATAGAACTGGCTATGCAGAACATGATTATTTAGGTGTGTTTTGACCTTGGACTTTCAAATAAAGAGGCCATATTTGATAAAATTGAGGTTTTAAGAGCCATAACTTCATGGAAGATTATTAGTGAATTTTTAAAAAAAAATTAGATAGAAAAATATGTAATCCTAAATATAATTTCTGCATTCATTTTTAAAAATTATTTCCTTCTTCATTGTTTTATCCTTCAAAACTGCTGGCCAGAGGAAATCAAGATGGGGAAATTTTGTGTGGAGGCGTGGATTGACATTTAATTTCTTCTTCAGAGCCATTTTGCACTATGAACAGTGTGAGGCACAATCCGTTCTTATAATAGAGCTTTGAGCATAAAATATCTACTTCTTCCTTGCCTCTGAGCAGCAGTCATCAACATGCAACAGTGAAGTATTTAGATATAGTTCTGCAAAAAGTATGTATCAGTTGACATTTAACCATCACATCAACTGGAGAACTGATTCCAAATCAAATCATGTAATTAAATCCTGGTGCCTGCTGTGCTTTATTGTCTAGTTTGTTAACTCGCACCAACTTGAAAATAAAATCACTCAAGATAAACCTAAGGAAGTGTATTGCAAGGGCAGAACATATCTTAATACTGTAATTATGTGACATTAATGAACTGCCACTTCGTTCTACTTGTATTTCATGAGCCCCTTAAAGTATTCTTGCCTTGAAACATATATCTGCCTGTGTTTTTCCCATCTGTGATAAACTCCAGCCTAGGTGTTCATGTGGTAACATTCCAGCTTATGTATTGCCTTTTGTTGCACGTGTCTGCCCATGTGTATCCCTGTGATTTGCTACAACCCATGTATTTTCCTACATGATAAGCTCAAAACTATGTCTTTCTGATATAATCATCTTCAGCCTATATTCTCAACATTATATGTTCCAGTTTATGTTGTTGCTCTAATACATTCCAGCCGATGTTCTTCCTGACATCCTTTAGCCTGCGTGTCATCTCTGTATGGTGCAATCCAGCATGTGTATTCTTAATTTGTATAATTTAGGATTTTGTAATTGAAACAAATGCAGTTCTCTGCATCTGATATATGCAGGGGTTTTTCTTTTTCTTTTGAGTCCTGGTCATTTCTTTAAATTTTTAAGCTTGATGCTTGGCCAGATAATAGCTGCAGCAAAATGTCTAAAGTTATTTTGCCACAATGCTGGATAATTTTTATTGTCTTTATGATATCTGCATCACACCCATACTTGCACACCTCAATATGCCAACTGTCTTGGTAGTTTACAGTGCTTTGTATCTGTATCATAAAGGAAGCCATGCTGTGATGTTCTGATGTATACCAACTAAGGAAAATGTTTTTGATAAACTAAGTAAAAGTTAATCAAAACGTGTATGTTTTTATTGTGAATTAGAAGAGCAATTGCTTTTTCATTTACAGTTGCAATTATTGTAATTTAATCTTGTTAATATGGTTTCTGCTTTCACAGTTAATAATGGAATCATTTTTAATCTGCTAACAACGTTTCATCTATACACACATTGCTTTTACATCTGACTTTGTTTACAAAAAAGACAAACTGAAGACAGCTTAAGAAAATAATTTACGAAACCTTTTGGATTTTTTAGAACCATTATAACGATGGAAGGGGAGTGGCCAGCTCTCGCAGACCACGCTATCCAGTTTTTTTTTAGCTTAAGCAGTCAGCAGCTGTTGGGGGTCCCAGGAGGGTTGGAAGCTTGGAAGTAAATGATTCATAGCTGCTACATTCTCTGAAATCTCTCTTGATGTTGTTTCCTTCTGGATTGGAGAATTGCATGTAAGAATTTGTGTTTGATTTTATCTTTTTGCCAAGGAGTGTGTTTATGGGATATTACTATATTGGAACAGTTAATTAGTAATAGGTTAAATTTTCCAATTGTTAAGTTATTCTAAATTTTTTTTTAATCTGTATTTTAACTATAGTGAGTCTGTTAAATGTTGAGTTTGATGAGTCGCATCACGTCTGGAACATGCACTTCACATCTACTCATAAAGTAATAAAACCTTAGGGTTTAGGCTACCTTCTTAAAATATTTTGAGGGGTTCTGGTCTGGTCCATAACAAATTAGGGGCTGTTGTTGGGATTGAAATCTATAATTCCAATTTGGGTTTAGGGTTGTTGGGCTCAAAGATGGCGAATGGTAGTGCTAGTGTCTTTTGTTATGGGTGTTGAACTCAGTTGTTTTAAACAGGGTGTGCCTTGTGTAGTAATGGTTCTTTCAGTCACTAAGAGTTTTCAGGGGGTGGAAGAAGTAACCTCGGGAATTTAAGAAAAGTGAACAAGGCAAAGCTGTTGGAATTGGCAGACAAGCTGGAGTTGGGGTTGCCTTTGTTTGTGAGAAAAGGAGGTAATTACAGCAATAGGTTAACACTTAAATTTGCTGGAAATGCCATCAGAATCTTTGGAAATGGCTAGAATTCAATTGTAGATGAAGCAGCTCAAACATGAAAAGGAAATGAAATAGTTTGAATTACGATTAAAAGCGGAGGAGAAAGAAAAGGAGAGGAAGGCCCTAGCAGAGAAAGAGAGTGTAAAGAGAGGAAAAGAGAGAAGAAAAGCAGAAAGAGAGGGAGTTTGAACTTCAGGAGTTGGCACTTAGAGAGGAAAATCGACTTAAAAGGCTGAGATGAAGAAAGAAGGTAGGCAAAGTGAGGAGGATAGTGACGATGAGCATACCCATCGTAGTCAAAAGCCTGGTAGGAATCTGTTTAAATATGTCCAAGCATTGCCTAAATTTGACAAGAAGGATATAGAAGCCTTTTTAATTTCATTTGAGCAAGTGGCTAAACAAATTAAGTAGCTGGTGACCATGTGGGTTTTGTTGATCTTAATAAAGTTGGTAGGCAGAGCTAGTGAGGTATTTGCATCACTATCAGAGGAAGTATCTGGGGAGTATGAAGAGGTGAAGAAAGCCATCTTAAGTTAATGCCGGAAGCCTACAGACAACGTTTCAGGAATCTAAGGAGGAACCCTGGTCAGACGTACATTGAGTTTGAAAGGATCAAGGTGGATAAGGGCATTGAAAATAGATCAAAGATATGATGCTCTTAGACAATTATTTTGGAGGAGTTCAAAAATTCACTTCCTGAAATAATGAAAGACGAGAGAGTTAAAATGGCAAGATTAGCAGCTGAAATGGCTGATGATTATGAATTGGTTCATAAATCAAAGTTTAGCTTCCAACATCAATTTCAATCCATGAGGGATAGAAATTAGGCAAAACAGAAATCCTCAGGTGGTAACGGAAAATTAGATCTCATTGAAGATTGTTTACTACAGGGTAAAAAGGAAACCCATGAAGGGGAAAGAGAAGTGAAAAAACTCAGATATTTTCACTGCAATAAAAAAGGCCACATGAAGTGGCAGTGTTGGTGGTTTAGGAAAAGCACTGAAAAGACAGATGTAGGAAAACAAGATAAGTCAGTGAGTTTTATTGAAATGGTAAAGAAAAGCACAGCAGAAGCTAAAAAACTGCGCCAGAATGTACAGCCTGGTTGGAGATTGGTTGAGAAGAAAGTGCCAGATCTTCTTAAACAAATTTATTTCTGAGGGTAACGTTTACTTGCATATGCCGGAAGGAGCAGGGAAAAAAAAATTACAATTTTAAGAGATACGGGGTGGATCACATCAATCTTTAATGTTGAGAGATGAGGTGATATATCATTTAGAAGGACTATTGCAAGAAAAAGTGGTAATATTTGGAATTCATGTTGAGACAAGTAGTGCTCCATTATGTAAAGTGAGGTTGGAGTGTCTGGTGAAAAGTGGAAAAGCGGTGGTGGGAATATGTTCCTGAGTTCTGAGGAAGAGTCACCGGACTCGAAATGTTAACTTTGTTTTTTCCTTCACAGATGCTGCCAGACCTGCTGACCTTTTCCAGCAACTTTGTATTTTGGACATGTCACTTATTTCTTCACAGGACTTGATAATTGTTTATACTGTCACAATTGTGAGCAATCTAGGCTGCATATAGCAACATAATTTCTTTTTATGGTCTTAGATTATGCTGTTGTACCATTTTCTCCTATCTTTCCAACAAAGTGTCATCTGTGGTGAGTGTGTGAGAAGGAATAACTTTGTGAACCTGCCTTCCATACATGAGAGTTGTTGGTGAGGGTAAGCCATTGCATTGGGGAGTAGCACATAGATTTTAAACCAGCTATCCAAAAATCTATACAAGTCACCGTACTGTAAGTCAATGATAGTCAAGTCTAAACAGTGCAGTACAATAATGCACTCTGCAAGATCATTCAACAGCAAGTAGTGGGAAAAAGAGGTTATATGTGCGACACCTGCTATCCTACATCGGTCTTTCAAGGTTGTGCTCAAGTACTGTGGATTGTAGTCAGATCAGATTTGTTGAGGAACACTGAAATACTGAATATGGCAGTCAGTGTCTCAGCATCCACTACATTAGTGGTATCTTTTATCGGTTTCACAAAAGGGAATTTGGTGAAATACTTCATGGCAAAATGTAATTGTGTCCTTGGAAATGGAAAATATCAGTTGTGTGATAATATCCAGTTTGGGTTCCACCAGGGCCACTCATCCTGATCTCATTACAGCCTTAGTTCAAACATGGACAAAAGAGCTGAATTCTAGTGTTGAGGTGAGTGTGTCCATCCTTGACATCAAGGCCACATTCAACAAAGTATGACACTAAGGAGCTCTTGCAAAATTGAAATCAATGGGTATTAGGGGACAAACTCTCTGCTGCTTGGAATCATACCTGGCCCATAGGAAAATGGTTGTAGTTGTTGGAGGCCAGTCATTTCAGCTCTAGGACATCTGTGTAGGAGTTCTTCAGAGTAGTGTCCTAGGCCCAACCATCTTCAGCTGCTTCATCAATGAACATCTCTGCCCCCACCCCACCCCCATCATAAGATCAGAAGTGGGATGTTTGCTGATGATTGCACAATGTTCAACACCATTTGCGATTCCTCAGATACTGAAGCAGTGCATGTTCAAGTACCACTGGATCTGGATTATATTCGGGCTTAGGCTGACAAGTAGCAAGTAACATTCGCGCCACTCAAATGCCAGGCAATGACCATCTCCAATAAGCGACAATCTAATCACCACAATTTGACATTCAATGGTGTTACCATCACTGAATTTTTTTAAAAATTCACTCATTGGATGAGGGCATCCCTAATTAAGCAAAGGGCAGTTAAGTGACAAGCACGTTGCTGTGGCTCTGGAGTCACATGTAGGCCAGACCAGGTAAGCACCCTTCCCTAAAGGACGTTAGTGAACCAGACAGGTTTTTCCAACAACTAACAATGGTTTCGTGGGGTTATCATTAGACACTTAATTCCAGATTTTTATTGAATTCAAATTCCACCATCTGCCATGATGCTATTCAAATCCAGGTACCCAGAATATTTTCTGGATCTTTGGATTATAGTCTAGCGATAATTCAACTAGGCTGTCACCTCCTCCTTGAATCTCCCACTGTCAACATCCTGGGGGGTTACCATTGACTAGAAACTCAACTGGACTCCCCACACAAAAGCAGTGGCCACAAGAACAGGTCAGAAGCTAGGAATACTGCAGCAAATAGCTCACCTCCTGATTCCCCAAAGATTGTCCACTATCTACAAGGCACAAGCCAGGAGTGTGATGGAATACTCCTTACTTACCTTTATGGGTGAAACTCCAACAACACTCGCGTTTGACACCATCCAGGACAAAACAACCCACTTGATTTACACTACATCCACAAGCATCCACTCCCTCCACCAACAACGTTCAGTAGCAGCAGTATGTACTATCTACAAGATGCGCTGCAGAAATTCACCAAAGATCCTCAGAGAGCACCTTCCAAACCCACAACCACTTCTATTTAGAAGGAAAAGGGCAGCAGACACGTGGGAGAACTATCATCTGACAGTTCCTCTCCAAGCCACTCACAGTCCTGACTTGGAAATATATCGCTTTTCCTTCACTGTCACTAGGCAAAAATCCTGGAATTCCCTCCCTAATAGTATTGTGGGTCTACCTACAGCGTAGGGACTGCAGTGGTTCAAGAAGGCAACTGACCGTCACCTTCTCAAGGGCCCTAGCGACAGGCAATCAGTGCTGGCCAGTCAGTGACGCCCACATCCCACGAGGGAATAAAAATAAAATCTTGTACCATGGCTCAGAAAGGATTTTGTGTGGAAGGAAAGGTTCTCTTTACTGTTGAGTTTAATGGAATCAACTTATTTCACACAATTTGATTAGTTCTTATTGAGGCAATTACCTGTCAAATTCTTGGGCTTGGTTTTCGTACTCCTGTGACCTATATGCATAAGGTCTAGCATGGCTTGATGTAGATCTTGTGGAATTAAGACATGTTTACCTTTTAAAAGTTACAGTCCTATTTTAGCTTTAAATGGCCAGGAAGATAGTGCTTGCTCTGGGCCCTATTATGAATGTTCAGCCAACTACTGATGATGGTTATTTTGAGCTGTTGTATCTTGTTGTCATCTAATGTAATCTGTCTGCTCAGACGCGACCAAAATGTATGAGAGAGATGTTGAAACTCATTGATTTAAATAATATCTATTTTGAGGTCTAAACAAACAACTTTATTTTAAGTGGGATTTAGAAGTTCCTTAAGAGCTTCGGAAAGAGTCAATTGTAAACCTGGATTGAATTGTACTTTGAAATCATACCTTGGAGGTGCACTTATGAGATCTTTCAAAATACCATTTCCAAACCTTTGTGATCTGTATGACCATTTAAATGGTCACTGAACAGAAATGTGGAATGTTTGTATTCCAAAGACGAGATTCAGAGTTTCCTGTTCGATGTTGAAGTATTTTGCTTGAGTTGTTGTATGGGTGTAAGAACCAAATGCAATAGGCTTCCCAACCTGAGCAGACACACTCCAAGGCCTTTCTAGGATGCATCTGCTTCCTACATGGTGAGCTTAGATAATAATATTGAATTATGTTAATATCAATACAAATAATATTAAAGAACACATTTTTGAGAGATTGAAAAACGTGCAAATGATCTTCTTGCCATATATACACTGTGCCTTCACAGATATGATCTTAAAGAGAAGATACTATGGGGCAAAATTCAGAATACACCTTTGTAAATTATACATCTTGTGCTGTAGGTATCTTCAGTACATTCAATTACTTAAACGAGCTTCAGGTCTAATCCTTTTGAAAAGTAGATTGATCCAAAGAATTGATTTGGTTCATGTTGATTTGAACTTTTTCCGTAAATGAGATTGTGTTTCCTTATTGCCAGCATGAGCTTTGTGTCATGCTCTTTTAAACTGAGACAATTTCTCACAAGCCTGTAGATTTTCCTTAGCAGGAGAACACAAGTTTATTACAGAAGAAAAAAATAATCTATGCAAATATAGAAGAATGTTAGCAAGATCCAAAACAGCAAAACGAAGTTTCAACCCAATATTTCCTGACATTATCAGTTACTGAGATGCAGGTCCAGAGAAATACACCTTACCTAACTCTTTAGATTTGTACTTGGCTTAATCCTGATCTTTCTTTGCTATGGATAGTGGAGGCAATTTGATAAGCTCTTTACAAGTCTGCCACCATGAACTTCTCACAAATCTGAGAGCTTAAACTTTCTTAGTTCTGATACTGTCAAGTCCCCTCAGGATCTTGTATATTTCAAAAAGATTATATCCTATTTGTCTAAAGTCCAATGTGTAAAGGCCCAACTTGTTTCACTTTACTTCATAAGCTTCATCCTGGGAATGAATCTCTGAACTGCTTCTAATGCAATCATATACTTTTCAAATAAGTTGTACACAGTTTTAATCTAGTGAAATCTATAACTTTTTCATCTTTTGCTTAATGATTACCTTGTCATTTATAACACAGCTAATATGGAATCTTGTATGAGCTTTGGTTGAGAAATAGTAAGCCATGCTACTTGTTCTGCATCTCAAAAATGAAATAAATTCGTGGACCGTGTGAATGGTCAGGCCGGCATGGCATCACAGTGGTTAGGACTGCTGCTTCACAGCACCAGGGAACTGGCTTCAACATCAACCTCAGACAACTGTTTGTCTGAAGTTTGCATGTTCTTCCCACGTCTGCGTGGGTTTCCTCCTACAGTCCAAAGATATGCACGTTATGTGGATTGGCCATGGGAAATTGCCCTGTAGTGTCTAAGAATGTACAGGTTAGGTTGGTTAGCCATGGGAAATGTGTGATTATGTGGATGGGGTGGTGGATCTGGGTGGGATGCTTTTGAAGGGTGAGTGCAGACTCAATGGGCTAAATGGCCTCTTTCTGCACTATAATTCTATGAATTTGCCTGTGGAAGTGATCCTTTACAGACCAAGCCTGAACTGTAACAGGGCATTATAGAGGGAACCGTAATGCATTTTATGCCTAATCTGGGAATTTATGTTATGAAGATAGTTTCTAAGAAAAATTGTTAGTGTTACATTCTTCAACATTGATATCCTTCACCCTAATGAAATGAGCAGATGAAGTTAACTTGAAGTTTCAAGGAAATAAAATGTAAATTATCTGTGGGAGAAAGATTATATTACCAGGCTATACTGTTAGAAAAATGAGTGAATTCAGTCATTTTACATGTTACTGGCAAGATCAGATTTGGGTATGCGGTCTGGTTCCAAGAAAGAAAACACATGTTCTATTTTCTTCTGCCAAGCTATTTTAAAAAGATTGTGCTTCTGGTCATTTTCTCACCAGCACCTGCAGCTAATGGTATTTTGAAGCTCAGACTCACCTCGCTGATTAGAAATTTAAAAATGTAGCTGATAGCGATATTTCTGGGAATATAAGGGCTAGTGCTAGGTGTTTCTACACCTGTGTTGACCTGTCAGAGTCAGCTCTTTGATCAGAAGCAATGAAGACACTGGGCCTTCTATTTATTGTCATTGCTGGAGTCCATGGATCATCTCCAGGTAAATGGAGAAGGAAATGTTTTATGACCCCAGTGTAACATTTCCATAACCCAGCCAGTCTTGTGGCTTCTTTCAATGAAATGTTGAATTAAAACTGGTTTGTTAATAATGATTTGTGTGCTAGTAGCTCCAGGGAATTAGAATGAGAATCCCTAAACTAATTCTGCAGACAATGCTTAAAGCCTCCTTTAGACAGGAGACTGTTTGATTTGGCTGGATTAAAGCCTAATTGGCACAAATTGTTCAGTGTAGCCAATGTGGAACCATCTCTATTCTGTACAGCGCCTCCTATGTTCCACTCATAATTCAGCCACAAGATTTTACAGATGCAGTCTTGCCATAGTCAAGGAAATCTCTGTTAAAGGGAGAAAATAAAGTATGCATTCTCATTGAGAGGGACATAAATGATGGAAATTGAATGCTTGTTTTGTACTAATGGAAACCATTAAATCTGTGACTTAATTCCTAAAAGTGGACAAATCCCCGGGACTGTACCAGATGTACTCTGGAACAGTTTGGGAAGCTAGGGAAGTAGTTGCTGGGCCCTTGCTGAGATATTTGTATCGTTGATAGCCACAGTTGAGGTGCCAGTAGACTGAAGGTTGGCTAATCTGGCGCCACTATTTAAGAAAGGTGGTAAGGAAAAGCCAGGGAACTATAGACCGGTAAGCCTGCAATTGGTGGGCAAGTTGTTGGAGGGAACCCTGTGGGACAGGATTTACATGTATTTGGAAAGGCAAGGACTAATTAGGGATAGTCAACATGGCTTTGTGCATGGGAAACCATGCCTCACTAACTCAATTGAGTTTTTTGAAGAAGTGATGAAGCGGCTTAATGAAGGCAAAGTGATGGATGTTGTCTGTATGGATTTCAGTAAGACTTTCGACAAGGTTCCGCTTGGTAGACTGTGTAGCAAGGTTAGATCACCTGAAATACAGGGAGAACTAGCCAATTGCATACAAAATTGGCTGAAAGATAGGAGATAGAGGGTGGTGGTGGAGGGTTGCTTTTTGGACTGGTGACCAGTGGTGTGCCGCAAGGATCAGTGCTGGGTCCACCACTTATTTATATAAATGATTTGGATGTTAGGAGGGATGATTTAGTGAATTTGCAGGTGATACCCAAATTGGTGGTGTAGTGGACAGCGAAGAAGGTTATCTCAGAGTAGAACAGGAACTTGATAAGATGAGCTGAGAAGTGGCAGGGAGAGTTTAATCCAGATAACTGTGAGGTGCTGCATTTTGATAGGGCAAATCAGGGCAAGACTTACACACTTAATGGTAAGATCCTGGGGACTGCTGCCAAACAACAAGACCTTGGAGTGCAGGTTCATAGTTCCTTGAAAGTAGAGTCACAGGTAGACAAGGTAGGGAAGAAGGCATTGATACACTAGCCTTTATTGGTCAGCACATTGATTAGAAGAGTTGGGAGGTCATGTGGCTGTACAGGACATTGGTTAGGCCACTTTTGGAACATTGCATTCAATTCTGGTCTCTCTTCTATAGGAAAGATGCTGTTAAACTTGAACGTGTTCAAAAAAGATTTACAAGGATTTTGCCAGGGTTGGAGAGTTTGAGCTATAAGGAGAGGCTGAATAGGCTGGGGCTATTTTCCTTGGAGCATCAGAGGCTGAGGGGTGACTTTAGAGAGGTTTATAAAATCATGAAGGGTATGGATAGCATGAATAGTCAATATCCTTTCGCCAGGATAGGGGAGTCCAAAACTAGAGGGCATAGGTTTAAGGTGAGACAGGAAAGATTTAAAAGGGACCTAAGGGACAACTTTTTCACGCAGAGGGTGGTGCATGTATGTAATAAGCTGCCAGAGGAAGTGGTGGATGCTGGTACAATTACAACAAATAAAAGGCGAGGTACATGATGGGTATATGAATAGGAAGGGTTTAGAGTGATTTGAGCCAAATGCTGGCAAATGGGATTAGATTAATTTAGGGTATCTGATCGGCATGGTTATGTCCAGCTGAAGTGCCTGTTTTTATTGCTGTACCTCTCTATGATGCTATGACTCTCTGACATATTCCCCATAATCCTCATTAAAGAGGCTAACAGGTGCACAATATGAGGTTACACTGACTGGGAGGAATGTGGGTATTCATAGCAGGACTGTATCCTAGTTACACTTTTACATATCGATTAGGGTTTCAGCTCTTGGATAATGAATGCATGTTTATATTATGGCTACAACTGCCTCAGTACTAAAAGGATACAACTAAGTATTGAAATATAAAATAATCCATGCTAGTTCTTGCATTCTGCTTGCAGTTGTCAGTTTGTCACATGGGAGAAAACCCTCACAGTATGAGATTTGGTTTCACTATACTATACTTTAAAAGGATTAAGAGATTTTCAAGTGATTTCATCTCACTTTAATGTAAATTCAATATTATCTTTTCCAGCTCAAAAACCCAATGACATCAAACATCCTGGTGAGTCCCTATAAATCTTTAACATCCAAAGTAAAATGTAACTATTGTATCCTAGTGCATGAACACACATGCTGGTGTTCTCTTCTGTGAACATAGGATTATCCTTTATCCATGTGATGCTTCTTCACTTGTAAAGCTCAGCAATAATTAATGGTCATGTGGGTACTCCCAGCAGGATGCCACCGCCAGGCACATATTCCCCTACCCTGACAGCCTTCTGCAGGCACCATTCCCTCCGGGACACCCTGGTCCACTCCTCCTTCTCTCTCATGGTCCCTCAACAGCTTCATGGCACCTTCCCCTGCAACTGCAGAACGTGTAACACGTGTCCATTTACTCCCTCCTCAGTATGCAAGGGCACAAACATACCTTCCAGGTGAAGCAGTGCTTTACCTGTACTTCACTCAATCTAGTCTACTGCATTCAGTGCTCACAATAGACTAGGTGCTGCTCGCAGAGCACCTATGTTCTGTTCACAAAAAAGACCCTGCGATTCAAGTTGCCCACTGCTTCTACACATCACTGTGTTCCCCCTGGCCAACATCTCTGCCTCAGGCTTGCTGTGGTGCTCCAGCAAAGTTCAGTGCAAGCTGGAAGAACAGCATCTTATTTTCCGATTGGGAACTCTACAGCCTTCTGTGCTCAATATTCAGTTCAACAATTTCACTCTTTGGAGGATGAGTGAGGATTTGATGGGTCAAATGGCCTCTTTCTGCACTATAATTCTATGAATTTGCCTGTGGAAGTGATCCTTTACAGAAAATGTATGTGGACCAAGCCTAATCTGTAACAGAGCATTATAGAGGGAACCATAATCCATCTTGTATCTAATCTGGGAATGTATATTATGAAGATAGTTTCGAAGAAAAATTGTTAGTGTTACATTCTTCAAAATTGGTATCCTTCACCCTAATGAAATGAGCAGAAGTTGACTTGAAATTTCAAGGAAATAAAATGTAAATTATTTGGGGGAGAAAGATTATATTACCAGGCTATACTGTTAGAAAAATGAGTGAATTCAGTCATTTTACATGTTACTGGCAAGATCAGATTTGGGTATGCGGTCTGGTTCCAAGAAAGAAAACACATGTTCTATTTTCTTTGGCCAAGCTATTTTAAAAAGATTGTGCTTCTGGTCATTTTCTCACCAGCACCTGCAGCTAATGGTATTTTGAAGCTCAGACTCACCTCGCTGATTAGAAATTTAAAAATGCAGCTGATAGTGATATTTCTGGGAATATAAGGGCTAGTGCTAGGTGTTTCTACACCTGTGTTGACCTGTCAGAGTCAGCTCTTTGATCAGAAGCAATGAAGACACTGGGCCTTCTACTTATTGTCATTGCTGGAGTCCATGGATCATCTCCAGGTAAATGGAAAAGGAAATGTTTTATGACCCCAGTGTAATATTTCCACAACCCACCCAGCCAGTCTTGTGGCTCCTTTCAATGAAATGTTGAATTAAAACTGGTTTGTTAATAATGATTTGTGTGCTAGTAGCTCCTGGGAATTAGAATGAGAATCCCTAAACTAATTTTGCAGACGATGCTTAAAGCCTCCTTTAGACAGGAGACTATTTGATTTGGCTGGATTAAAGCCTAATTTGCACAAATTGTCCAGTGTAGCCAATGTGGAACCATCTCTATTCTGTACAGTGCCTATGTTCCACTCATAATTCAGCCACAAGATTTTACAGATGCAATCTTGGCATAGTCCAGGAAATCTCTGTTAAAGGGAGAAAATAAAGTATACATTCTCATTTAGGATGGAAATAAATAATGGAAATCCAATGCTTGTTTTGTACTAATGGAACCCATTAAATCTGTGAATTATTCCTGTAATATTCAGTGAAGAGGATAATAGGTGCACTGTGAGGTTACACTGACTGGGAGGGATGTGAGTTTTTGTAGCAGGACTGTATTAGTTACATGTTCACTTAGCAATGAGGATTACAAGTTGGTAGTTGGATAGTGAATGCACATTTACATTAGAGCTATGACTGCCCTAGTACTGATAGCCAACAACTAAGTATTCAAATATGAAACAATCCATGATAGTCCTTGTATTCTGCTTGCAGTTGTCAGTTTGTCACATGGGAGAAAACCCTCACTGTATGAAATTTGGTTTCACTATACTATACTTTGAAGGGAATTAGAGATTTTCAACTGATTTCATCTCACTTTAATGTAAACTCAATATTATCTTTTCCAGCACAAAAACCCAATGACATCAAACATCCTGGTGAGTCCCTATAAATCTTTATCATCCAAAGTAAAATGTGAATATTGTATCCTAGTGCATGAACACACATGCTGGTGTTCTCTTCTGTGAACATAGGATTATCCTTTACCTGTGTGATGCTTCTTAATTTGTATGGCTCAGCAATGATCGATGGTCACATGTGGATTCCTGGCAGGATGCCACCACCAGACATGCATTCCCTTCCCCTCCCCTGTCAGCCTTCCACAGGGACCATTCCCTCTGGGAAACCCTGGTCTACTCCTCCTTCACTCCCAAGGTCCCTCCCACAGCCCCATGACACCTTCCCCTGCAATTGTAGAAGGTGTAACACCTGCCTCTTTACTTCCTACTTCCCCAGGATCCAAGGGCCCAAACACAACTTCCAGATGAAACGACACTTAGGTAAAGTCCCACAATCTAGTCTACTGAATTTGCTGCGCACAATGTGGTCTCCTCTACACTGAGAAAACTAAGCATAACCTGGGTGACTGCTTCACAGAACACCTATGTTCTGTCCACAAAAAGAACCCTGAGCTTCCCATTGCCTGCCTTTGCAACATACCACCCTGTTCCCTGGCCAACATCTTTGTCTCAAGCTTGGTGCAGTGTTCCAGCTAAGCTCAGCGCAAGCTGGAAGAAAAGCACATTATTTTCAACTTGGGAACTCATCAACCTTCTGGACTCAATATCAAGTTCAACAATTTTAGGGCTTGAGGCACCTCACATGTGCTTACCCCAAAGCCCACACCCCAGGCCTTGTTTTCACAAGGCAGAGATACAGGAGGCTAGAAGAACACAGCAAGCCAGGCAGCATTTGGAGGAAAGGAGAAGTTAATGTTTTGGGTATTACCCTTCTTCAGGACTGAATATGGGAGTTGGGGGAGCTGCAGATAAAGATGGTGGGGGGATGGATGGTGAAAGGTGGACGCAGGTAGTAGGTGTGACCTGGTTGGTCGATGGGAAGGTTGAATCTGGTTGGTGGCTGGAAGGGAGGGTCAGGAGGTGGGATGGACAGTAGGAGGTGGGCTGGAAAGGGAGTTGGGGGATGGGTGGTATGGTTATTTGAAATTGGAGAACTCAATGTTGAGTTCTCTGGGCTGTATGGTGCCCAGGTGGAAGATAAAGTATTGTTCCTCAAATTTGCAATCTGATTCACTGCAACATTGGAGGAGGCCGAGGACAGACATGTCACAGGGGTAGTGGTTGGTGTGGGGGTTTGAAATGGGGGGTGACCAGGAGGTTAGGCTGGCCACTTCAGGCCAGACAAAGATGCTGAGCGAAATAGTCACCTAGTCTACGTTTGGTCTCACTGATGTAGACTTGGCGAAATGGTTACCTAGTCTACGCTATCATGTAGTCTGCTATTACACACTAGCCACTAGTTGTCCACGAATAGCTATTCATTCTCCCAGCCAGATTGTTATCCACTCCTTTGTCTATCCATCTGTTCTTTTCTCTCTTTGGGCTCTATCCCTACCTATTGTTTACTCCTTACTCCCTACCCCACCCTATCTTCTGCATATAAGCTGATATTTTACTCGCTACCATCAGTCCTGAGGAAGGGTCCCTGAACTCAAAACATTAACTCTGCTTTCTCTCCACAGATGCTGCCAAACCTGCTGAGCCTTCCCAGCAATTTCTTTTTTTATTTCTGATTTCTAGCATCCGCAGTTTTCAGTTTTTTATTTCCACATATGCTATGGGAGCTGTGAGACAGTAATGATCAACTGTCACATGTGTGCTTTATGTTTGAGACAGCAGAATGTTTGGAGCTATTTTTCAAAGTTTTTTTTTATCCTGATTCAACTATTTGAACGTGTAAAGTTAATGCACTTCAAATTGTGCAAGATGGTAAAAGGTTTAGGTATGTTGGAAATAGAGTTTGAGATTCTCTGGTTTGAAGTTGAATGATGTAACCGAGTGTGTTAGGTCGTGTTCTGTCTACTAATACCGAGAGCAAGTTATCATACATGCTTCTCTGCTCAATATCAATGAAGTGAAATGTGGTGCGAGTTACTTGGCAAATCATGTTGTGAATAGGCAGAAGTTCTCAACACTGGCAGGGCCTTTTGTTATCAGAGGCTCTAGTGCCACATTTGAAGGCCAGATGGACACTACTTCAGACACTGCATACCAGGAGCTTCATGGGGCATGTGGTGGTCATCTGCAAAAGCTCAGAAATGATCGCTAAGGACTGGAAGCTGGCTCACAGATTCACCAGTGCTGCACTGTAGACACTACTGGACGGGGTCACCAAGTGAAGGTCCATTCTCTTCCCAAGTCCTTTTAACAGGAGGCAATCTTATCAGAGCCCTGCAGCCTGGGCTGAGATCACAGCACTATCAGTGTCACTGAGCTGCACCAAAGGAACAGAAAGCAGTGCTATAGAATGTGAATGATCCCCAGCAATTCACAAGGGTCAGTGGCACCATTTTCTCTCTACTACCTGACACTTTCAGGGGCATCACTGAGTCTCATTCTGCCACTGCACAGGCATTTTACAAAGGCACAAAGCCTGCAAACCTCAGTATCTTTTTTTTACTCATTCGTGGGATGTGGGTGTCACTGGCTGGTCAGCATTTATTGCCCATCACTAGTTGCCCTTGAGAAGGTGGTGGTGAGCTGCCTTCTTGAACTCACCTCCTGTGGGTTGACCCACAATGCCATTGGGGAGGGAATTCCAGCATTTTGACCCAGTGACAGCAAAGGAGCCAGCGATATATCGCCTAGTCAGGATGGTGAGTGACTTGGAGGGGAACATGAAGATAGTAGTGTTCCTATGTTTCTGCTGCTCTTGTCCTTCTAGACAGAAATGGTCATAGGTTTGGAAGGTGCTGTCTGAGGATCTTTGGTGAATTTCTGCAGTGCATCTTGTAGATAGTACACACTGCTGCTGCTGAGCGTCGGTGGTGGAGGGAGTGAATGCTTGCGGGTGTAGTGCCAATCAGGCGGGCTGCTTTGTCCTGGATGGTGTCAAGTTTTTTCAGTGTTGTTGGTGCTGCACTCATCCAGGCAAGTGGGGAGTTCCATCACACTCCTGTCTGGTGCATGGTAGATGGTGGACAGGCTTTGGAGAGTTGGGAGGTGATTTACTCGCCGCAGTGTTCCTAGCCTCTGAACTGCTCTTGTAGCCATTGTGTTTATGTGGTGAGTCCATTTGTGTTTCTGAACAATGATAACCCCCAGGATATTGATACTGGGAGATTCAGTTATGGTAATACCATTGAATGTCAAGTGGCAGTGCTTAGATTGTCTCCTATTGGTGATGGTCATAGCTTGGCATTTGTGTGGCGTGTATGTTACTTGCCACTTGTCAGCCCAAGCCTGGATATTGTCCAGATGTTGCATTTGAACATGGACTGCTTCAGTATCTGAGGAGTTGTAAATGGTCCTGAACCATTGTGCAATCATTGGCGAACATCCCCACTTCTTACCTTACGATGAACGGAAGGTCATTGATGAAGCAGCTAAAGATGGTTGGGCCTAGGACACTACCCTGAGGAACTTATGCAGAGATGTCCTGGAACTAAGATGACTGATCTTCAACAACCACAATCAACTTCCTACGTGCCAGGTATGACTGCAACCACTAGAAAGTTTGCCCCCGACACCCATTTGATTCCGGTTTTGCTAGGGCTCCTTGATACCACACTTGGTTGAATGCAGCCTTGATGTCAAGGGCTGTCACTCTCACCTCACCTCTGGAATTCATGTACGATTAGCACTCAAGGACTCAGACTCACACCATCCTCTCAAACAGCTAACCCTTTGCGCCCTCTGGCCTTCCAACTTACTTACTGGGGACTACTCACCACTCCTCTTTCCATACTCAAAGACTGTTCCTGCGCCAATTTCATCACACTTTACCCTTCTCTTTATCTCATTGCAGAAGAAGTAGATTCACAGCTGTGCCGAAAGGCTAAGACTGGCAGAAATGTGCCAGACATAAAGGTCCTCACCCCCTTTGAGGAAGTGAACTGGCCAGGGAAGGCCAAGCCCATTCTGTGACAAAAGGAAGCGGCACGGTGACTTAGCAGTTGGCACTGCTGCCTCACGGTGGCAGGGACCCCAGTTCAATTCCAGCCTCGGGCAACTGTTTATGTGGAGTTTGCACATTCTCCCCATGTCTGCGTGGGTTTCCTCTGGGTGCTCCTGTTTCCTCCCACAGTCCAAAGATGTGTAGGTTAGGTGGATTAGCCATGGAAATGCGGGGTTACAGGAATAGGGTTGGGGGTGTGTGTGTCGGTGTGGACTTGTTGGGCTGAATGGCCTCTTTCCACACTGTAGGGATTCTATGAAGGCAGGAATTGGCTAGAAACACAGTCAGATGAGAACAACACATTGACATGTGGAAGCTATTCTGCATCTTCATCAATTCATTCTTTCTCTTCTCTTCTGCAACCACGAACGCACCCAGACCAGCACGTTCTCTGAAGAGGAAGCCTTTGATAGCTCAGAAGATGCAATGGCAAGGTATTTACTACACCCTCCAGCAACACAGAGACATCCACCTTGGTGGATAGATTATAGAATGCAGGACACATCACTGACAGACATCTCTCACCCTGGTTTGTGATACTCGGAGGACTCTGTAAACCAAACACCTGCTGAGTCCTACACAGAAGACATGCCTCTGATCTTGAGTACACACATCATGTAGTCAACTGCAGAGAGACACATAGGAACATCAGGCACCTTTGTCAAATGCCTTTGATAGGTTGGGTAATAAGATGGAGGACTCTATGTCCAAATGCAGTAAAACCTGGACAATATCCAGTTTTGGGCTGATAAGTGGCAAGTATCTTTCACACCACACAAGTGCCAGGCAATGACCATCTCCAACAAGAGAAAATCTAACCTTTGCCCATTGTTATTCATTATCATCACTGCATCCTCCACCATCAGCAATTTGGAGATTACCAACAACCAGAAACTGAAATGGACCAGCCATAGAAAAACATTTGGCAACAAGAGAAGGTCAGTGGTGAAGAATCCTGCAGTGGGTAACTCACCTAGTGTCTCTCCAAAGCCTGAACACAATCTACAAGGCACAGGTCAGGAATGTGATAGAATACCGTCCACCTACCAGGATGAGTCCAGCTCCAATAACACACAAGAAGTTTGACACTATCCAGGACAAAGCAGTCCACTTGATTGGCATCACATTCACAAACATTCAGTCCCTCCAGTTTTGATGCTCAGTGGCAACAATGTGTATCATCTACAAGATGCACTGCAGAAATTCACAAAGGCTCCAAAGACAGCACCTTCCAAACCTACTGCTTTCATCTAGAAGGTCAAGGGCAGCAGATACCAAGGAAACACCACACGCTGTAAGATCGCTATTAAGCAATTACCATCCTGACTCAGGAAACATATCCTGACTCCTTCAGTGTTGCTAGGTCAAAATCCTGAAACTCTCTCCCTAATGATGTGAGTCTACCTACACCAAATGGATTGTAGTTCACGAAGGCAGCTTACCACCACCTTCTCAAGACTAACTAGGGATGGACAATGAATGCAGCTCCAGGTGGTGACACCCACATCTCATGTGTGAAAAAAATGAATGAGATGCCAATGCCTGTATTTTAGCTTCTTGCCACTGATAGTGTGAATATCATCTTAGCATCTAAGGAGGGATGGTTTAATTGCAAAAGTTTAACTGCATTGTAAGAATCTGATTTTTGGATTCCTGTACAATTAACTCAACATATTAGCATTATTTTCAATACTTAGGAAATGGAAAATTGTACATAGCTTTGTCAATCATGTCTGATAGTGAACTTTCAGTGTAATCATGTCAATTACATCAAATCAATTTTTAACATAACATTATATGAAATGATATGCTGTATGAATGCATTTTTTCTTATGATGCATCATGTCAGTGAATTAGAAAATCATATGTATTTAATGAGTGTCTTGTATTTCAGATAGTCGCTGGTTGAATGAGTTTGATGATAAACTGCTTTTTACCTGTGCCTCATTTAGTACAATAGGGTCAGTTAGCAGGTAAGTGACCAAAGATCACCCACAATAATCTCATAGAAACCTGTTAAGTCTACAAGAATATGCCACAAAGAGGCTTTTTAATATTTATAATTTGTCCATATCACACAACTCCAACAACGCTGACTATTAAGTCATTCCCCTTATATGCACACAGGTCTTGCCCAATTATCCCTCCTTTAGCAATAACCATCACCAATTCCCTTATTCTATTTGGCCTTCAGGCAGCCCTGCATGGTGGACTTTAATTCCACGAATGTCCATCATGGAAGACTGCTGCTCTGTTGAAACAAGTACTTTTGTCCTTGCAAGATCTGGATTTTTTGACCATGCCCTGAATCTATGAACAGTGGTCTGGCTTCTAGTTTACATGCTGCTTATCTTCATTTTTACTCCATATCTGTAAGCTCATTACTTCCACTTGTGGAGTGAGTTGGACGTTTTCCTGGTGAATTGAACGTGTTCACATCTTCAATCATGTTTTTGGGTAATTGCTGCTTACTCAGCAATATTTCTGTCACTGGGACTGAGAATACTTCTTTCGAGGATAATAGATTGAAATGATGCTCTTCAGCTTGTCTTGGCTCCCCATCCGGCATTAAAGTCAATTCTGTTGTATCAATTTAATCTCCAGTCTTTTTGACTACTTGAATAACTTCAATTAACATTTTCCCAATGAGCTCAAGTATGTTGTACTCCTCATTTTTGCTTTCAGTATTTGCTTCTTGGAAAGCCTTGCCAATCTTTTATCTAAAGTTTCTTTGGTGATGCTTGGAATAGAAACCATTTCCACCTTCCTAGTACAATCATAGTTTCCTTCCTATAGACAGTAAGAAACAATTTGCTAATGCCAGCATAGGCAATGTCAGTAGATTCTTTCATTTCTTTGGGATCTGCCATGACTCTAGGAAACCCAGTGTGGTCTTCTACTAGTGGCCCCTTGACCAACAATTGTAATTTGTAACTGCTGTTCCTTCAGCTATAGTATTTGAGCTGATAAAATAGTGACATTGAGTTCTATATCAAGCTTAAAATTGATGGGATGAATGTCACCATTAACAAGCTCTAGCAAAATTGTTGGGGAGACAGTTACTCAATGTTAATATTACTGGACTAGTATTCCAAAACCCCAGGCTCATATCTCAGTGTATGGGTTCACATCCCATCATGGCAAATCTGGAATAAAGAAAATTAACCTAATGGTACCACCGTCAATTGTGTAAAGCCCAACTGGTTCATTAAAGACCTTTACAGGAAGGAAATGTCACATACTTCTGAAGAAGAGTCATGCTGAACTCAAAACATTAACTCTGTTTCTCTCCACAGACGCTGCCAGACATGCTGTGTTTCTCTAGCATTTTCTGTTTTTATTTCAGATTTCCAGCATCTGTAGTATTTTGCTTTTTGTCTGTCTGTTGTAAATTCTGATTTCTGAACTCTTCAGTTAAATCTTGCCCTTTCAAGAATTTTGTTGTTTCTTAGATGACAACATTATCAAAAGCTTGAAGGACTTTATCAAAACTGTCCATGTTTTCTTTTATATTTTGTGGTTTATTTTCATCACTGGCTGCACAATAATATATTTTCTTGAACATTTTGAGATTTAGTTTGTAAGTTTGAAGCAATTTTGTTTCCTAAGAGCTGCTTTTTTTCCAAAATACCTAATCCTGTTTTCTGTTTGGTGTATCACTGACATTAAATGTTTATTATATTTCCTTCCATTTTCTTCTTTTTGATTATTTACACTGCTTCCTTTAAAGCTATTTTCAATCTGCAATATCTCAATGCTGTTTCTAATCAGCTATCTTTTAAACCTTAATCTTATTGGATAACAAATTTATTCCAATCTTCTGACCATAAAACTTTTCAAATCAAATCAATTCCTCTGTATTTCTTTGTCTATAAGATTTGAACATTTTCTCTGTAGTGATGTTGTCTTCACTTCCTTGATTTTAGAAGGTTTTAAATTCTATGCAGCAACTCCCCTCTTAAAGGTGTTACTATATTAAATGAAACAACTTCCAATAAAATACTTTTTCCCACAGGAATCAATGTTAAAGCCAGAGTTAAATTGCTTGGAACATTTCTCACCTTGGAAAAATATCTACTATATCGTACGTGTGCAACATTGCGTTCTGAGCTGAAATAGGTTGCAAAATAGAATCTATCACTAAGTATATTCAAAATCTTTTACAAAAATTACTCAGCTTTACTGTACAGTGCTGTTAGATTGACTTAACTCCATCTGGTAGCTGAAGTTCCAGGACTACCTGCACTGACCAACATCTGCCAATAGGTGGAGTCGAGGACTTCAGTTCTAATTCAGGTGGGGAGTGAGGACCCAGGAGCAGTGTAACAGGGAAAGGAGGATCAGATCTTGAGCTTAAAAGTAAAAACAGGGACAGGAGGTGAGGACAAGGTAAAGTGACATTGGGAGAATGTGGCCTCAAATAGAGAATGAGCCTCAGGAGAGACTCTGACCAAGGCCCTGAAGAGATGGAGGTCAGGGTGAGACAAAGCTACTAGGACACAAGCCCGGGGAACAAGATCCTTTCCCATGACCGAAACAAAAGGGAGAGAGTGTCTGGAATACAAACCTTAACACAGAATTCACCAGTTTCAAAATGTCCCCACCCTCAGCCTCATTCCATGTCCAGCCGTCCCTCCCATCCCTGCCTCCTTGACCTGACACAATCTGTCTATCTTCTTTCCCAAATATCTGCCCCACCCTTCCTACTGACTAATCCACACTATCCCCTACCTGTATCCCCCATCACCATCCCGCCTATCTTCCCCCAGCCCCACACCCAACTATTTATTTCCCAGCTCCTTTCCCCCTCCCCAGTCCTGATGAAGGGTGTAAATCTGAAATGTTGACTTTCCTGCTCCTCTGTTACTGCCTGACCTGCTGTGTTCCTCCAGCTCCACACTGTATTGACTCTGACTCCAGCATCTGCTGTTCTTGCTATCTCCAAGCAGTATTCTACACTGACTGGCAATGAGAACATATGTAAATGATGTTAAAATGAAAATGATGATGCAAAACAAGAAAACAGACGCTAAGAGTTGACAAAATTAAAAAAGAAATCATGTTAAGTGACGTGAGTGGGAGAGAGGGGAATTCAGAGACAGTCACCATCATCTAAAGAAATGGAAGAGAAGAGAACCATGTACTTCTAAAACAATGAGACAGAGAGTAGGGATAGCAACTTCATGAGGGGAGGAATGTAAGAAGAACAGTGACTGCAGGAGGTATAAACTGGAGATATAGAGCTTCTTCAATATGTTTTCATGTGTCAGAGCCAAAGTATGATATCACAAGAAAACAGGTTGGTATTTCTTGCACGCCTTTTTTGATTGGCCAAGTGGTTTAGATCAAGAAACTATATTACTGCTAAAGAATACAGTTAGGAAATTCACTTCTGAAGTATCTAATGTCCAAGTTAATTAAGTAGAATAATGATGACTGAGCAGGTGATGCGTTGCATCTGTAGTATGTGGGAGCTGGTGAAGCTGGTCCATGGTGACACACCTGCAGCGTGGTGTCTGCTCAAGGAACTCCAGCTCAGAGCTGATGAGCTTGAGGCTAAGTTGCAGACAATGTGACATATTGGGGAGGGGGATGTTGAACACTGGATACTATGTTACAGGAGGCAGTTTAATTTGGTCTGTGTTCAGTGACAATGGTGTGTTACTGTAACATAAAGCCAGTATAGCGGTGCAGAACTTAGCTTTGGTGGAGCTTCAGCCAATACCAATAGATACAAGGTTCATGCTCTCAGTGTGGACAAAGGCATAGACTGCAGGGAAGATGAGAGAACTGACCAAAGCACTGTGGTCCAGAGTATCATCCAAGTCAGGGGAGTAAAGAGAGATGTAGTAGTGATAGGGGATAGCATAGTCAGGGAATAGATACAATTCTCTGCAGCAAAGACAGAGAGTCTCGAAGGCTGTGTTGCCTACCTAGTGCTAAGGTTCAGGACCTCCCTTCTGGCCTGGAAAGGAACTTGGAGTGGGTGTGTTGTGGTCCACGTAGATGCCAATGACATAGATAGGACTATGAAAGAGATTCTGCTGAGGGATTACAAGCAGTTTGTTTCAGGTTTGTAGCATCCACAGTATTTTTGTTTTAATTGGATTGTAATGTTGAATCAGGTTGGGTGGAAGTAAGGAAAAGCAAGCAAAATAAGTCATTAGTGGGAATCATCTGTAGGCCCCCAAACAGTTTGCTCACTGACAAAGTAAACATTGGCAAATAATGGAGGTGTGTACAAAGGGCAATACAGTTGTCATGGTTGATTTTAATCTCTGTGTTGACTTGACGAAAGCAGTGAAGCCTGAGGTGGGGACCAGATTGATGGCTAGTTATGCATCATCACAACCACCTATTATGGCTTTAATGATATGGACCTGATAGACCGAAGGGCCTTTTCTGTACTGAATGATTCTCTGATTCTGTGATACTGAGACTATCAGGAGCAAGGGATGACATATCAGACCATGTTTAGTGTCTCAGGCTGGACTCAATTCTTCACCCAGGACTTTATGGCATCATCAGATTGGGTTGAGCCTAACACAGTCTCCAAATTAACCATTTCAGAACATTACCTTACAAAATACTGCCTTAGTTCAAATTATGTAGTGTGTTTACAGCTAGCAAAAGGAGCAACCTGAGTTGGTGGAATGAACTGAATTTATATTTTAGTGAAAAGGCAGTTGTCAAGTTCACACATTCAACCGATGTCTATCACCTGAAGTTATCCTGAACATACTTTTTGTGCTTTCCTTTCTAGTCAACATCACAGTTACTATGAAGATCGCTTGTGGGATTTCCAATGTAAGACAACATTCAGTGAGCTGCCAACTTGTTCATGGACTAACTACGTGAACAACTTTGATGAAGAGTTTACCTTCAACTGCCCATTTGGCTCCATTATTAGTGGCGTCGAGGCTTATCACGAGAACTATTATGAGGACAGGAGGTATTTTGGAAACTAGCATTATTGCATCAAAGGTCTAGACAATTTTATAAACAATTGAGTACGATATTTCCATTTACTAATGTGAACAAAAAAGTCAATGTTGAAACTTGTCTTCCAGTACTTTAATTGGCTGTTATAATGCAGTTTCTATGTTACGTTGTTACAAACATAATTACTTGGAGATACTCTATATTTCTAAATCCAAGCTAAAATATACAATATATTGAATATAGCAGCCAGACTGATTAAGAATATGAAGATGTCAGAAAAATAATCCCATTCCAGAATTCTGAAAACAATGTGCCCCATTTATGCTGTTACAGCATAATGATGTTGCAGCAAAAAAAAGGCCATTTGGCCGAACATTGAATACTATCCTCTTCTCACCCCTCTTCATCTAACTTCAGCAGCATTACATTCCTTTCACTCTCATGTGTCTTCCCCAGAAATAAATCAATACTATTCATTTTAACTATTTCATGTGGTAGCGAGTTCCACAAACGAACTATTTATTGGGTAAAGATGCCTCTCACTCTCCTGTTGGTTATCAAAATATTCTTTACAAATGTATTACTGAGTGAATACATTCACAGCAGCAATGGTGCAGGATTACTGTTGGCTTCAAGTTACCAGATTGAGTTCACTTACAGGTCTCCAGGAAGGGGAAGGCCACAGTTGTTTCACATTGTTCTGATACAAAGTCACAGAGCTGAACTGTTAATTCTGTTTCTCTCTCTTTGCAGAGGCTGCCTTTCAGCAATTTTTGTTTTACTTTGGATTTCCATCAACTGCTTTCCCACGTTGAAGTCCCCTCTCCTTTAATTACCTTTGTTTGCTGCTCCTGTAAAGCTGGGATTTAGGTTGTCCTGTAGCTTTAGGAGCAATATTGCCTCTGAGCTGTACAGCAGTGCAGCAGCTCGGAGAACCCACGCCTCTCGATCAAAGGAATGCTCTAATTTCCAGCTTCCTGCAGTTGCTGCTGTGCGCATACCATGGAATTCTGCACTGTGGCAGGAAAATTTACAAGGCATATAGGTTGGGGGCTCATTCATCATCCTCAATTGGACAGAGAAGCAGGCACCATGTCAATTCAATGGAAATTGCAATGAAAATCCTAATGAATCGCTGTATTCCCCTGGGATGGCTTCAAAATCAATCTGCTCTGAGTTCATGGGGTTGGTATGCTGAAGGTAGCTCTGGACAGGGATTTAAAATAGGGAGGGGACTATAACGTGCATCCTGTCCTGGAAGTGAGTGCTTAAGAGTGTGATAAATGATACTGCAAGTGCCAGTAGCTTCATTGCTGTCCCTTTCAGAGGGAGGTGCTGTCATTCCAGCTCACTGCTGCTTAGGGAACAGTCTGGAACTCCAGCTGGTGCCCATCCTGCAGTCAGTAGAATGGTGTCCCCCACCAAACTGTAAAAGCTCACTGCATTTTTGACATTTGATGCAATCAGAGCAATTTTAGATTTTCACTTCTGTCATTTATGTTATCATATCGTTCCAATCTAGAACTCCAACATGGTGTCAGTATTGTTTCTGAAATGCTTGTCAAAGTTGCTGTTTTACTGCTTTATCTTTCTCAGGTGGAAGTTCTATTGCTGCCGTGTAAACAATGCCTGCAATGATCAGTGTTCCTGGACAGACTATCTCAATTATTTTGATGATTACTTTAGTTGGAAAGTTCCGGACTTGACCTACCTTGTGGGGGTTTCCAGCTATCACAATAACTACCGAGAGTAAGTAACTTGCAGCTTTTCAAATTTTCATTCAGAATTTTTTTTGTGTGCGTTAAATGGACTGACGACATGTGAAGATGGAGTCAAATGAAACCAGGATACACATCTCCAGAGTTTGACCACACAGGTCGCTAGGAACACAGAGGGAGAAGTTATACTGTGGTATCAGCAGGCCAGTCTTAGATCTATAAGTTAATATCAGCTCCAGCCACCTACGCAAATACTTTTGAAGAAGGGACCTATTTGTATTGTGACACAAAGAGAAGTCCATGATGTTGTAAATATGGACTTAAGTTTAGATATTGTTCTCTCAGAAATAAACAGGTATTTTTCCTTCATGTTTTCTAATTTTTAGAGTCTGCAAATCCAGTGGCATAGAAACCAGACATTACCTGTTGCTGCAGTCCTTCAACTTGCATATTTTACTCCTTAATGCACAGGAACAGCACAATCTCCAGAGTGGAATCTATTATAGATACTTTCTTGTGAACAGTGCCCCTTTAAACCATCAGCACATTGTAGCTGTGAATGCTCGGACAGCTCATCTCCAAATTATAGAACTTTCACCTTCTAAATATCTTCCTACCAGTAATCATTATAATAGATTTGCCATAGCTCCTTTTATCTAATTGTGAAGGGTTTCTGGATAGTTTGTGGGCAGAAGCAGAGAAAGATTGAGGAGGCACTGTCTCAGCCTCTTGATTCATTGAACTGTGATATGGAGTGATGCAGGCACAATGGAGTTACAGAAGGGAGACTGTGGTAGTGAGTTGAAATTACGGTCCAGGGTCTCTCTGACTTTATTTGCAAAAGTACCTCTGCGCAACCTGAACTCCAGACCAGAGAGTCGGAATGGATGAATCTGGAGAGCATTATAATATAGCTGCAACACACTGCTGGGCTATTAATAATAACCATTTGTTTTCTATATTTAACCACAGGGATCGTCGGTGGAAATACCAGTATTGCACCCAAAAGACCTGTTAACTCAGTGGAGGACTGCAGGAAAACCATTCACCCATACCAAAACATTCATTATACAAAAATATACAGCTAACCTCAAAATTAAAGAAAATTTCAAATAAAGTAAAGGCATGACACTAAATAAATAAGTTCTCTGACTAATTTTCATTTTGTGGAAGAGAGTTAAAGCAAGCAAGATAAAACAGATTACTGAGTAGGAAATGGAACGTTTTACACATGGTATCAGGATGAAGTATTTCTCGCAGGAGGTCATTGACTCACCCTGTCTGTGCCAGTTCTTTAAATGACCAGTTCACTTAGTGCTATTCACCTGCCTTCTTTCCCTAATCCTGCTCGTTTGTTCCTTTTGAAATCACCATCTGCTTTGTTTGAATGTCTCAATTGAAGCTGCCTCCACTACAAACTCTGGCAATGCATTCCTGCTCCTAACTACTTGCTGTGTGAGAACACCTTTCATAATGCAACTTTTGCTTCTTTTACTTATTTTAAATCTGGGAACTACCAACTCTGGACCTGTAAAAGTGAGTTGGTCAATGCTAGCCAATATGGTACCTTAACCACAACCTCAGAACTCTTTTATGTTTTGCGCAAGTCTTTCTGTTTTTCACACTAGCGGCCTTCCTACTTTCTCTCAAGTGAGAGACTGACAGTGAAATTGTAAATTATAAGCGCCAAAGCTTGACATTTTTTCTACCAATGGTAGTCACAGAGTGCTGAGTTTTGAGAAAAATATTAGGGGCAGCTGAATTGGAACAGTGTTCCTGGTTTGTGTAAGGCTGCTGAAAACTTTAAAACAATTCATTTCAGGTGTGAATATACATGAGGACACACCACGATATTAACATGACTGTGTTAAAACTGGTTTGCTGTGATAGCGGCATTATAAATTTCTTAACTGCTTTTCAGATATATGTTTTTTTTCACAACTTTGAGTTATTTCTGCCCATCTTATTCCGAATACATTGCCTTCTACATTTTAGGTAACTTTAATAGATTCTTACAGACCCAAGAATGTGTTTACTAACCTGAAAATTATATATATTTTGGTAACGCTCTCCCCTCAAAAAATTGCATTTTTTATTCAATGTTTTCCAATGGAGGTGATCAGGATTAATACCCTGCTAGCTGCTGAGAAGATGGACATTGATATGTACAATCCTGCGCCGATATTTACAGACTCTGCACTGTTGGACTGAAAATCCTGTGATAAGTAAAATTTGCACATAGTGTAAGAGTTTGTAAAACAATGCATGTATAATTTAAGTTGCCCTGAGTAATGGTAAAACTCACAGTCCCCTCCAACTAGAAATGGATGAAAGTGTCTTCAAATTTGCTTGGGAAACCAGCCCAGTAATTCTGCTGATATGCTGCTCATTGTGTTCTGCACTAACCACTTTGGAGTGAGGAACATCTTGGGGAAAACCTCTAATTTGAATGGATAGTCACTGTGAGACTTTAGGATGCAGCTACAGCACTGTCTACCCTGCCCCCTCTTATGGGGAGGGTTTTTGTTTCTAAAAGCCCCAATGTCTGGTTGTGTCAGCTGTGGCTCCCTATGGTTAGATGAGAGATCCTTTCTAAAAAAGAAATTTGAGGGTTTCTTCGGGGTTTCAAGATGCTCCCTTTGGTCTGGTCCCTATTAATGATGACCAATTGCAGCAAAATAGAGGTTGGTGCATTCACTCTCACATTTCACTGATCTCAGTTTCAGCGGTGTGTGAACTCCCAACAAGGAATTTCTTAAACAAAATCCAAAATTGATGGAAAAACTCCACAGGTCAGGCAGCAATCAGAGTTATTGTTTTGGGTCCAGTGACCCTTCTTCAGTCACGTTTCTGGCAATTTTGGATTTTGTTTCTGGTTTTCAGCAACTGCAGGTCTTTATTTGTTTATAATTAAGGGATTTCTTACTCATGATCCTATTTCTGCTCCATACCAAGCACATTAAAAACTCTCAAAAATTACAGACCATTTGACAAAGGTTCTCAATCTCCTGGCTGAGTTATGGTAGCAGATTGTAAAACATTTGATTCTGGCCTGGTATTTTTCTTTGCCAGAATAAAGCAGTCACTTTTTTAACATATTTAGCATAACATCATGTCATTGCATCACGTTAGAAAGCCTTCACACAGTTGAAAATATTAACTTTTATTGAACAACAGCAAACACGAAGAAAGAACAAACTAAAGGAGTTGCATTGGTTTCTTGGTACAAACCACAATCATTTGCCTTTTACGCAATGACAAATTTACAGTCAATGAGTGATCACTGCTCCCGGGCATTGGAACCGGGTGTCACTACCACATTGCTGGCTGGACCCGTATTATAACCCATTCCTTCTTGCCTTTGAGAAGGTGATTTTGAGTTGCCTCCTTGAACCACTGAAGTCCATTGCCATTGGAGAGAATGTTCCAGGATTTTGACTCAACAACACTGAAGGATATATTTCCAAGGCAGGATGGTGAGTGACTCAGAGGATAATTTGCAGGTTGTGATATTCTCATGTACCTGTCGGCCTTGTCCATCTAGATGGTAGTGGGTGTGGATTTGAAAGATCTGTAAGGTATCATGGTGAATTTGTGCAGTGAATCTTACAGATAGTACACACTGTTGCTACTGTGCATCGCTGGTGGAAGGGCTAGATGTTTGTGGATACGGTGCCACTCAAGCAGCTGACCTGTCCTGGATGGTGTCACACTTCTTGAGTGTTGTTTGAGCTGCACCCATCCAGACAAGTGGGGAGTATTTCCCATTTTGTGATGTCATTCCAAATTCCCCTTTTGACTTTTCCTCAGAGCTGAATGGTCCTGAAGAAGAGTCATAGCAGACTCAAAATGTTAACTCGGGAGCTGATGGCCTCGTGATATTATTGCTGGACTGTTAATCCAGACCCTAGTAATGTTCTGGGGAACTTGGTTCAAATCCTGCCATGGTAAATGGTGGAATTTGAAGTTAATATATTAAAATGAAATCTGAACTTGAGTCCAGTGATGACCATGAAGCCGTTGTCAATTGTCAGAAAAATCCATCTGGTTCACTAATGTTCTTTAGGGAAGGAAACTGCCATCCTTACCTGGTCTGGCCTACGTGTGACTCCAGACCCAAAGCAATGTTCTTGACTCTTAACTGCCCTCTGGGCAATGAGGGATGGGCAATAAATGCTGGCCCAGTGATGCCCTCATCCTGTGAAAGAATAAAAATCCTTAGCTTTTCTAGCCACAGATGCTGCCAGACCTGCTGAGTTTCTCCAGCATTCTGGGTTTGTTTCAGATTTTCAGCATCATCAGTATTTTGATTTCTGCCTTTTTTACTTATCGATATACTTTGGTGACATATAAGGCAAATGTTTTTTTACAATTGTAAACAAAAATTCATTTTCCCATTCCACAGCGAAGCTATACCTTTTTGGTTTCTTCGTAAATGTTCCAGTTTCATCATTCATCAGTATTGCGAGCCAGGGAATTATTTTTTAGCTAAGATAACAACCAAGGCAGCCCTAACTATAAGCCTACAACTGAGTACACACCTTGGGTTAGAGATGCGCATTAGAAATAATAAACCACTATGCATTGAGGTTACTTTTTAACTAAGTCTTAAAAGTGGTTGATCTCAAACATCCATTCGACACGTACAGATAATTATAAGTTTTAGATGTGGGTCTGGAAGCTGCTTTTTCTTGTACTCACTTCACCTTGTAGTTTGTAACATCTCTGAGCTGCTGCTTACACTGCAGGTCAATTTCTGGATCCACACATCTAGAACATCCAGAATGTTGCTGTGAGGCACCAGAGATCACTTCTGTAGTCGCAATTTGGTTCAGGGCTCCTGGTCAGCTTGCATTGCTCAGATATTGGATGTATGTATGCGGCAACATTCCCCATATTACCTTCGTTGTGTGTGAGCTCCATGCATGGCAGCGTTTCCTGGGAGGGGAGATCATGCTAATCGCCATGTGTGCTCAGCATAGAGGGAATGTGCAGGCTGTATGAGGAACTGAGACTGAGGCCAACTGTGAAGGATTCTCCAACCGACCACTCAAATGCAGCCTATGGATTGGAGAAAGTATCTCAGGATGTCCCAAGCCATTCAGGTGCCCTTTGTTTCAATGCCAGCAGAAAGTTTCAGGCAGGTACTGGGCATTTCACTGGATTCAACTCATTTGTTTATCAGGGACATGACTGATTTTCTCTTCACAAGAGCTCACCAATTCCTCTCTTTCCCCCTTAACCAGAAGAGTCAGGCAGTGAGGGTATGAGCATTCTCAGCCACCCCTCACTTCCCACAGGTACAGGGCATAACCGATTGTACCCACATAGCAATTAGAGTGCCCTATTGTCAGACTGTTGTTTTTGTCAATAGAAAAGGGAACTCCAGTCCCTTAAAAGCAGAGATCATCTGTGACCACAACAGCCAGACAAAGTAAGGTCTTGTGGTAGTGTTCCTATCTCTGAGCCTGAAGGTCCAGGTGCATAAGTCCCATCTGCCCTAGACGTATGTCATAGAATGTCTGAACAAGCTGATTTTGAAACAAAAAGATAATGCAAGTCCATGCTGAATATCCAGTGAGCTGCCATAACTCTTACTTCACAGGTATCAGCTCTTTTCACTGCCATTTGGCTCACGCAAGGGTGGTTGCTGGATGGCAAGGGATACCCCTCAAAATATGTTTGATGATACCTCTCAGAAACCCTTAGGCTGATGCTGAGGAGGCGTACAACACAAGGGCCAAGGCAGATCAGACCATAAGCCTCCTGACAATGAAGGTCTGATACCTGGACCAGTCAGACAGTGCCCTAGACTGAGTATCCAGCATTATAGTGCTGTTATATGCCTGTACAATCTCAAATGTCAAACAGAGGATGTCTTAGCAAATGAGGAGATGCAGAACTGACAAGAAACCTCTGAGGAGGAAGCTGAGGGTGACTATTTTGTGATGGACCAGGATAACAATCAAAGAAACAAATTAGAAAGGGAAATGAATGATTGAGCCAGAGACACCAGAGTCAACATTACAGCAACTCACTTCTAGAATAACAGAGCTGCACAGAGATGTTCCAGGTATGTTATGTTTTCAATTACACAGTGAATGTCAGCATTCTGCTTCCTATATATTCAACATTGATCA